TATTCACTCCCCACATGGAAACCTCTTCTATAATTAATTATGGAATTAATAAATTTTATTTTAAATTGCATTTTTATACATGTTTAAGTTTTATGTATAATTGTTACTGAATTTGCATTAAGCAGGTATTAAAGTAATAAATCGATAAAATTGTACATACACAAGGTATACAGAAAAAAAGAAAAAATATATGATCTAAGCCGACGGTCATAAAGATCTAAGGTGCCGGTCAAAACTGCCGCCTGCAGAAGGGCAAGAATGTTAAGCCGCCACTTTTAACATATCTAGGCCGGCGGTTGTGACATACCGCCGCTTTAGAGATATTTGAACCGCTTCAGGCGGATTACTAAAGGCGGCAGTCTTTTTTATCTAAGTGGCAGTCCTGAGCTAAGGTGGCACCCACTTAGACGGCGAACGGGTCACCGCCGCCTTAGATGTAAGGCGGCGGTCCAAGGCCTAAGGTGCTTTGACCGTTTTTCTTATAGTGCAACTAACATGAAACTCTGACATCAGCTGGTGGACACGACATGACTTTTGGTACTCTAAACCTTTTAGCCTTGGAGTGGACAGCCACTGCTAGGCATATCAGAAAACGCCATTGCTGTCTGTCTCGTAGGTGATCTACGATACCTTATTTGAGCTTGTGGTGGTAGAACCACAAGAGGATTCCAGTGATGGGTCTGGACTCTTTGATTGGAGAAGGCACTTGCATTGAATTTTACTTCTTCTTGTCCTTCGTCTTCTTCCTGTTCTTTCATCAGATGGAACCATTGGAGGGACTAGTACTAGTGCAACGAACCGACAATTGATTTCTAAAGTTGGGGAGAGAATAAAAGAAATCCGCTTAACCTTTATTATGTCTAAACCTGGCTAAAACACAGAAACTACTCCTTGAAACCAACACATTTCCGTAGTAATTTAATGGCAATCAAGTCTGACCGAAATAAAACTATATGAACCTAATTCTCTCTTTTGAGAAAGAAATTTGGAATTCAGATTTAACAACCTATGGCGATGCCTCCACAGAAGTTAGAAATGAAAAGAAATTCAGAAACAACTTCTAGTTCATTCTGTTCGTCATGTTCTTCTGCTTCGGTGGCGTTACAAGGTATTATCTATTTTCTTATTATCTTCCAAGTTCCAACCTTCAAATAAAGAAAGACGAGTGAGAAAAGTGAGAGACGAATCATGGGTGGGATGGCAACTCGTGAGCGGACCCAGTTCAGTTTTATTGAGAATCGAGGCATCGACGGACGGTGGCAGGAGGGAGTATTCCAATGCAAACCCAAAACACTCTTCCTTCTTTCGACTCGTATGATATTCTTATCCCTAGGGTTGGATTCGAGTCGAGCCGAGCCGAATAGAGGCTCGAGACTATTCTACAAGGCTCGAGTTCAAGCTTGAGCTCGGTTCGAGCCAGGACCTTGAGCTTGAGCTCGGCTCGAGTCAACAATTCATAAGCTCAAGCTCAGCTTGGTTCGGCTCGACTCGTTTTATATTTTATAAAAATATTTTATTATATATTTTATAAATATTTTATTATAAAATATTTTATAAAAATAAAAATTATATATATAATTTTTTTATTTTATATTTAAAAAATTAAGAATTATAATAATTAATATTTTTATTATTTTTAATATATATTATTTTCTATAATTATATATATATATATATATATATATATATATATTCGAGCTGGCTCGTGAGCCTCACGAGCCAAGCTCTAGTAGGCTTGAACTCGACTCATTTAATAATCGAGCCATTGAATTGAGCTTAAGCTCGAGCTCGAGTAGCTCGTGAAAAACTCGGCTCGTTGCCACCTCTACAAGTTCTCCCTCACCCTGTTTTCTCTTTTTTTTTTTCTTTCCAATTTCTTATGGATTAAAATATGAATTATTGAAGCACCTTCGGTCCTTCACTTTAGGCAACTGTTGGATGAATTCAAATCTGCCCCCACAAAATGCGCCCCAAAAACATTTCACAGCACATCCCAACTGTGTATTGGAAACATCTCCCAATGACAAGTACAATAAATGTTCTCAATGCATGCCGAGATGTGCATGTGGGGCATTCTGTGGGGGCAGATGTGAGCTCCTATTGGATCTAATGCCTGACCTGCTAATTGTACTATTGTTTTCAGGTCTCTCTCTTTTGGAGGTCTTTATAGAGAGGAGAGGTAGTTGGCTCTACAACACATACGTGGGCCTTCTCTCTCATTTTTAATGTTTAAAAGACATAAGGGCAAAATGGTTTTAAAAATATTACAAAGGGTAGTTTTGCCATTTTGTAAATATTTAAGTCGCACATGATGTCATGTGATACACAAATTAATGGTTGGTACTAAATTGACACGTTTTAAAGTTTGGAGACCAAAGTGAAACTATGCCCAAAGTATAGGGTACTAATCTGCAATTTTCCTATATTTTAATTACCATTCTTTTATGTTTTTCAAACCTGAAACTTCTACAATTCAAATGCAATAGGTTGTTTTTTATGGAGTTTTGAAGACAAACAAACATAGAAGATGATATTTTTCCACATGCGATAATGCTGGGGACTCTCCCGAAAACCACTTGGAATTTTGATTTCATGGATGAATTGGCTTGTCATTACGCTAAGATGGGTATTTCTCAATGCTTTTCTATATTTTTTAATAATTTTCTGTCATTTTTTTGTTTTTTCATTTTCTATGTATTTCATGATTTTTGTTATATTTTCCGAGAACTTATATTATATTTTGCATTTTATGCATGTTTTACAATTTCAACATTTTTTTTTTGTTTTTTAATGACTTGACAAATTAATGGGTTGGGTCAAGGTGGGTTCATGTATCCTATCATATCCAATATTATATTTCATATTATTGGAAAATCAATTATAAATAATAAAGCTAAGGTATTTTTCAGTATGATATTAGGTTTTAACTTTTTAAAGGTTAAAATATTGAATTTATTAATGGTTTTCTAAATGGATTAACTAACGATTTTTCTTTTCTATGTAATGTAAGGCTGCCTAATTTTCTAATATAAAGGGATGATGTATCCCATTTAGGGGTAACCGAAATGTAGGCCTTTTTTTTCAAATCGAACTGATCCTTTGGTTTTTGGAAATTGTAAAACAAAATTGAACTGAAACCAATTGGTTGCCTTTTATTTTTTGTTTTTTTGAATTTATAATATATTTATAAATAAATATATAATTATATAACATAAATATTAGAAATATATATAATATTTTATACTATAAATAATAAATAATATTATACATATATCAATCGGTTTTTTCAGTTCGGTTTCATGGATTCAATTCCGCTTTTCAGTTTCTTAGTTTTTGATGAACACCCCTAATCCCATCCAAACCATTCTTTTGGGGGGGAGTACCCTCTATTTTAAAAGTCAAATAGGAGGTTGACCCGGTGTTTTGTGTATGTGATGGTTCACTGGTTCAACTATCTAGGCTGAACAGGTTACCCCACTAAGACAACAAGGCTGTGTTTGGAAGAGGTGTAAAATGGCATCAGTGTAAAAATACACTGATGACGTTTTACACTGACCGTAAATATATATGGCCGTTGTATTTTAAAATCAATGTAAAAAGATGTTTAAGTTTTACATTGATTATCGATGTAGTTTTTACATCGATTATCGATGTAAAACTTTAAAGGTGATGAGGTTTTACATCTATCATCGATGTAAAACTACACTCCATCCAAACGCACGCAAAACCGAACCGAAGTGTAGTTTTACGTTGATAATAATTACACTTTTACCAAATGCGTACGAAAGCGATCCGATGTAAATTTTACATCGGTTCTTGATTTACATCACATCCAAATACAGCCTAATAGTCATTAGATTAATATGATTTTGAAAATTAATTCGTCTATAAACGAGTTTGGTAACCTTGGCACCAAGTACCAACAAGACAACAAAAAATGGCTAAAGTATCCATGGTTGATCTCTCATTTATTAATATAATTTTTCTGTAAATAATGGATTAAGAAGGTTGGAACCATCACTTTGTATCCATGCTAAATGTGTGTATGTATGCGTATGTGTGAGAGAGAGAGGCGTGGTCGTCAAAAATGTTCTGTTTCAGACACTACCACTGGATGCCTCTAGTTCATGAGTCCACACTCAAGCTCCAAATAAATTGTACCTTTACCCTGTAGGTGTGTGTGTGGTTTGTAGTTGCCTAGTTGGGGTATAACCATTGAATGGCTATGGATTTCGACTCGCATTGCCATGGATTGGATCTGCCATAAAGATTCAAGCATGAATCCAGCATTTAGCAAGCGTCCGGCTCAGATCCGAAAGACTCCTGCTTTTTCAATGTATCTTAAGTAATCAAATGGAAAGTCATTCCATAAGGATAAGGTAATTCATCTGGATTTGTCCCCAAATACCATTATGGTGGCCTGAAAGATTCACATTCACTCCCCGACAGTTTATGTAGCGAGCTCCCGAATTCTGCTAAATTCCCTGCTTTGCTTATATGTAAAGGCATCTTTGTTAATGAGGTGTCTAGGCAATCGATTGCAAAAGCAAAAACTATTCCTAAAAAGTAAAAACAATCTCCCTGTTGATTTTGACTTTTGACCGACTAACTGCAAATAAGTAACAGGATTGTTGAACAGGGAGTATGGGCTTTATGTTTTTTCACCTTTATATGAGAGTTGGACGATAGTCGACTCCATATAGTTGGGAATTGGGATAGGGCTTGGTCCGAGAGTTGAACGAAAACCAGCAATTTCACAATTAATTGGATGCTTGGTGCATAGAGAAACCATTGTTGTTCGAATGTCTCAGATTTGGTTGATGAAACCACCGGTGAGTGGAATAGGCAAAATAATTTTGAACTTGAACTGTGTAATTCAAGGAAGATGTTTTGACTTAGAAACTATTTGAGGTGAGATCAATACTATGATTACTTTGTTGATGTCGTGTCTAATTTGGAACTATGGTTTCAGATTTTCAAAACAAGTATCCTATATTAAGGAGTAGAAAATAGGATTTTACAATTGTTTTATGAGTGCAAAAGTACCTTTTCTATTGAGATGGAATAAGTAATTTACCGAATCGCATATCAAAAAACAAAAAGTAATTTACTCGGTCAAAGCACGACGCTTTAATCAACACATACAGCACACCATAACTCATCGCTGAGTACAACTTATGACCTCACTTCATATTCTCCTGCTTGAGTGAGAGCACGGAACCCTTTATAGGGGCGATTTGGTAAGTTCTTGATGTCTAATTTATCTATTTGCAAACCTGATAGAGCAACGCCCATGATTTTGAAATCCACTTTAAATGTAGGAAACGTGTGCAAGCGTTCCAAACCTGCTTCGAGCACCAGGGTTCCAGACATGGAAGGGGCTTTATCTTTGGGGATACGCCCAATGGACCAAGAACAGGTCTGCAGAATTAACAGTATGAATCAATAAAATATTTTACCAGGAAATATGAATAAGTGTCACACCAAAAGGTGGAATATTCAATCAACTAGAGAGGCCTCTCTTGACCTAGAATTTGCCAATGCCACGCACATCACTTGCGTATGCAGGAAAACGCGGATATTAAATGTCACCTCGATGAATGATGATAAAACCCCCAATGACCCCCTTTTTTTTATAATAATAAAACCCCCATGATAACAGTACTTTAGAAAGGTTTGCTGTTATAACTTATAACAAGCAGCAGTGTAAATTATTTACCTTGTTAGCAAGAATGTTAACTGTTCCATGATTTGACGTAAGATCCGCTGAAGTAACACAAGGAGGCAATTGAAAATGAACCATTAAAGAGTCAATGGTCTTTCCAGGATCGTTTCGTATTCCAACTAACACAGTGATGCGACATGTTCCAGCATCGGAGCTTAGCTGCGGTTTTACATATATTGGAGTGTTCTTCAACTTCTTAATCCTGTAAAAGTGCAAGATGATCGGAATAGAAGGCCTGAATATGAGGAATCAAAATTTACTCCAAATCCTTACCTGTAAGTCATAAGCTTAAACTGCCCATCAGGAGGAACAAATGACAGGATTTGATGCGACTCCCATGGACGAAACCGAACACAAGGATGGAATCTTGCATCATTCAGAACTGAAGGATTTGCAAAGGACAGAGTCAAATCTGGAAGACCTGACAGACTAGAGTTGACTTGAACTTCACCATATACATCACATTTCACCAGCGCCCCATCCCTGAACAGCAATTTGAATAGGGAAAATTATATAGCCACATAGATGCAATTCAAAGGGCGTTCTAGAACAAAAGTTTAACGCCAGTCATTAAACTGGTGTATGCACTTCAACTAAATGGAGAAGTGGTCCAATTATCAGAAGGAAGAAAAACAAAAACACCACCAACAACAAGTCTGCCAAATACTTGAAAAACTGCATCATAAATGAAACTTTGGTGTATGCAGACATTAGCCCTTGTAAGATGTTGAAGTGGGGTGTGTCTTGGTCGTTATAGACTGAATAGTCTCACTCAGATGGTCCATGGTACTTGAGAGACTACTAGAGAGTTTATGGCATTTCCTTCCCTTGACAAGAATTTTCTAGCCAAGAATATTTCTTTTCTTTTTCACATGGTTCAGCTGATCACCCATAGAAGCATTGTGAAGTCTGCAATAGTACAAACTTAGACTGTGGGATATAAGAAAGTCTTCTTGGTGTCTGTCCCCAAACTAGTGTGTTCTTTGCAAGGATGGTAATGAGATTTCTTCCAATTTACTAACCTCCTTCTCATGGCTGGAATCTTTGCTACCTCAACCTTCCGATTGCTGAATAAAAGAGGGAAGGTAATGTAGAGAACAACAAGGGCAACAATAGTTTGGACAACTTGGGTGGAAAAAAAGGCAACGATTTTTGAGGAGAAAGAAAGAACAAGAGAAGCAGTTATGAGTGTTTTACAATTAGAGTAGCATACTGGATCAAAACGATGGATTTTCCCACCTTTTCTATTGATGACCTTTTTAGGAAATGGAGGGTAGTGGCGAGTTCTTGTAGTAGGAAAAAAAAAACAGTTCCTAAACATTGGTCACTTCTTGAAGAAGGTTATATCAAGTTAAATTTTAATAGGAGTAACATGGGAAATCCAAGGCTTCAAGGAATGGATGGAGGGGTGGTACAAGCAATGTATTTGGGGCCAATTGGAGTAGGGAGTTCTCTAAGAGCACAAGTCATAATTAAAGTTCAAAAAGCCAAAGAGTTAAATTATTAACAGGTTGATCATAGAGGACTCAAAGATGGTAATGGGGTGGCTACAGAATAGAAAGGAGACACTATAGATCTTAAGGAAAGAAATGAAAAGTTCAAGTGCTTAACAAGGAGCATGCAAGTGTAGGTTCAATGGGTGCAGAGATCAGCAAATAACATGGCCGATACTTTAGCCAAACAAGGTCACTTAGGAATCAATTATTTGGAGTTCTGTAATCTGGAATTTGAATATAAAAGGGAAAGATGGCTTGTGCTCTCATCACTTTGTATATTTCCATGTACATTATGTTTATTTTTAATGAGTAAATGAATTCCATTGCCTATCAAAAAACAATAATTAACATTCCAGCAAAATTGAAATTCAACTCAACATTAAACATCTATTTAGTTTAAAAAAAAAAAAAAGAAACAGAACCAAATGGTGAATAATCTTAAACCGAACTTCAGATGTAGACCTGCTTATTATTGCATCTATTTCTTCAACAAGATCAACATAAACTTCATTACTTGCATGCTTCAGGTCAGCTGTTCTCCAGGGAACACAAGATGCCGTTGCACCTGGAAGGGTGTTGCTCACATTGGAAGTATTTCCAGTTACAACACTTAAAACTTTATTTACAAAATTTGGAGGAGCTATCATCTCCCTCAAAATGTTTAGTTCTGTTGTGAGAGGAAAACCATTGTCTATCATCTCATCCAGAAGCTGCACATTGTGGCAAATATACCTGTCATTGTTAAGATTCAGACAGATTCAAATCACATAAAGAGAATCTAAAACACCAAAATGAACCTCAAGAAGTGGTCAATATAAAATGGTCGTCACAACTTGTGGCAAAACAAAGTTATCAGCAGTCCAAAACCCTTTACAGAATATTACTACAAAATTATCCCCCTTCCCCAAAACTATGCAGGGCTGGAGGAATGTGGAAGTGGACAGTGATCGCCAAACAGCTGTAGGTTGCATAGTTTTCAAGGTGCCAAGGCAAGGCTAGGCAATAGGAGGGTGCCTTGTCACCTAATCACCTAGGCAATGGGATTTTTTTCAATAAAAACCATGAAGCCTAAGCTAATTCCCTAGGTTCTATAGCAAGTAGCAACCATCTTTAACTGTTAATTATCTATAATCTTCATAAAATAATGTATAATCTTCATTTAAAATATAGAAAATCAACATATTCATGAAAATAATGGAAGAAAGAAAAGAAATTTCAGAAAATAGAGGGGCAGAGCCTCCTAGGAAAAGAAGAAAAGAAAAGAAAGGATGAAAAGTTTGAGTTCTTCCATGCTTATTAGTTCAGGTTTTGAAATCTTTGAGATTCAAGACAGTATATGTTTTGATTTTTTTTGATGAATAATAATAAATTTATTGATTCAGAAACAAATTTAGAGTGAGTTCATACATCATCCCAGCGAGAGGCGCGAGCTGCAGCCCCTCCTTGAAACTTACAAATAAACTAGGAAAGAAAAACAAGAATCACAACTGAGCCCAAAATAATTCTTCCCTATTTACCCCTTGCTTAGCTAACATATCTGACAAAGTATTTGCTGATCTCCCCACAACAGTATATGTTTTGATTGAACCCCAACAAATAAGAAAATAATAAAAAGAAACCAGTATTTTAACTCAAACTGAATAATTTAGTTTAGCAATGCCTTTTTTTTATCAGCAAAGAAAATTCATTTATTAATTTAAATATTTGTTACAGGGCAAATATATGGAAACCATGATACACATCTGCCAGCCCATTTGCTTCCCTTTTAACCCATCCAAAAATAGAATTATATTTCTTTGCAAGTTGGTCAATTTGCCCAAAAATGAATCTGAGTTTCCAGGTGCTGACACAATTTGCTTTGCCCATGTTATGACCAAAAAGGAATTTCCTTCAATTTCCAATTCTCTTGCCCCTAATTGTTCAGCAAGCTTCAGTCCTTGTAAAAGTGCTTTAGATTCAGCCTGAATCAAATCAGCAAAACCAATTGGTCCTTAGAACAAGGCCATCCCCTCAAAGAGAGAGAGAGAACAAGGCCATCACTACCCGTGATGGTTTTGAAAGACTCCCCAATCTTGCTTTTCCTGGATTGCCAAAGGAACTGCCATCAAAGTTGAGCTTTAGCTTATTTAAACCTGGTGGTTTCCACTCTATTCTTACACTTTCTCTATGTGGTTCTGAAAGTCACTTCTCTCCAATTACTTAAGAAGTCATCAGTAGAAATACTCTGAAAATTCCTTATTATAACCTCAAAAAGTTAAGAAATAAAATTATCCAACAGCACCGAGTAAAAGGAAACCCTCCATGAGTGCCTTATTGCCTAGGCATCACTCTACATATTAAGCTACCTTAGTATTACCCAATTGTCATAGTTAGGTAGTATATCCTAGAGGTAGTCTCTATATGTGATAGTGGGTTGTCCTTGTATCATTTGGTGTAGCAATAGCAAATATGCCTTCGTTGGGTTATTTGGTTTTTCATTTAATTGATAGAAGCATGTTTGTGTTTTATTGGATGATTGCAAGAAATTGCTGTAACTATGTGAACACATGGAAACCAAATCACCTAGGCATGCACTCACTAGGTGATTTGATTTATCCTTTTGACTTATAGCACGTCTAGGTTTTCCTAGAGGCCACAAGAAAGTGTTATGATTATGTAAATCCATCGCTCCACATGTTAGACTACCTTCATATTTCTTGATATTCCTAGTAAGGTAGTGGATCCTAGAGGTAGTTTTCATTTTATCATATGATAGATAGTTCATGTATCACTTAGGGTAGCAACACCAAGCATGCACTCATTGGATAATTTCGTCTTGCATTTAATTGATAAAATGTCTATGTTTTATTGGAGGGTTGTAAAAAAGTGTTGTGACCATGTAGTCTAATTGAAACCAAACCCCCTAGGCATGCACTCACACAAGGGGATTTGGTTTTAAATTTGATTATTAGCATGTTCATTACCTATTGGAGGGTCACAAGAAAGTGTTGTAATCATGTGAACTCATTGAAATCAAATCACCTAGACATATATTCACTGGGTGATTTGGTTTTCTTTTGATTAATAACATGTTAACGTTTTACTGGAAGGCCACAATAAAGTATTGTGACTATGTGGGCACATTACAACATGTGTCAGACTACCTTGGCATTTCTTGATTGTCATTGTAAGGTAGTAGACCTTAGAGGTAGCCCCTATTTTTTCCATATGTTAGTGGATTATTTTTTGTATTGATAGGAAAAAGGCAAGCGCTCCTTGGGTGATTTGATTTTTCATTGATTAAAATGTTAGTGTTTTATTGTAGGGTTGCAAGAAAGTGTTGTGACCATGTGAATTCATCAAAAGATTCGAAACCAAATCACCAAGGCTTACAGTTATTCAGTGGTTTGTTTTTTCATTTGATTGATAGCATGCTTGTTTTCATTGAAGGGTTGCATGAAAGTGATGTAGTCGTATGCACTCATCATTGAACATGTTAGGCTAAGAGTGGTGGTGAGCTGGCTAAGAGAACAAGGAAAAGAACATTGGCAGTATCAGCCAATATTAAAGGTGTTTTGGAGCAACTACAGTAACCCGAACCAGTGAAGAAGGAAGAAGAAGATGAGGAAGAAGATAGGAGAAAGAGAGAACAGAAGGGTTTAGTCGAAACTGATTAGTCTCGCATTCAGTCGACCCCCTAATGTTTATTAGGTTCTAATTACACTTACAAAGACTAAACTGCCCTCACTTAAGTGTGGGGCAGAGTACTCTAATAACACAACCACATAAGCAAAGTACTTAACTGACATGAGATTACTAAACTACCCCTATTCGGCTCACTCTAACACTCCCCCTCAAGCTAGAGAATATATGTCATATAATCCC